TTCAATGTTTGTGTTTGTTTAATTACAAGGGCACACACAGTTTTAATTCACAGTATTTCACCAACCTTGCATCTTCTGTTTACTCATTACCCGAAACTGTCACACAGGCGTTCTTCCCCAGTGCAGGGGAGTGCCTTCCAGCCTGTTATGCATCATCAAAACAGGTTTCGTTTAGGCAGTTATTGCCCTGGGCTGGTGAGGCAAAGAGTAGGAAGAACTTTCAGGGCTTAGGCTCGGTGCATACATTCAGGCTTGTGAATAGGAGTTGAAAAGATGTCGTCATCCTCCCCTCAAGATGCTGACAAAAATAAACAAAAGGTTTATTTACTGTCTGTGGCTGTAAGCTGCCTTTCCAGCAGGTTCCAACCACCTGAACAGCATCTCATTCTCAAGTTGTTCAGAGAAAAAAGATAAGGGAAATGAGAATCTTGGTTTCTAATCATTTAATGCTGAGTCAAATGTTACAGTAGTGATTAACGGAGGCATTACAGACCAACTGTAGCAGCCAAGAGCAGATAATGGTATCTCCTGTGATCAGCATGCTTGCTACTCAGGTCTGACAGCACTTTCTGAGTATCCTCTGGCTCCTGTGAGCAATAGATTTGAGGGAAGAGTGGGTTCTGTTGATTTTAAGCTCTGCGTTGTGCTTGTAGTTCACTCATTTTCTATTAAAGATTAATCAAGTGGAAAGTGTTGAGGAACTGGAAGCCCACTGAACTCAGCATGTTTTTACAGGCCTCTGGATGCCCTACTGGTCCAGTGCGCTGAGAATGTGGAGTTTAAAGAGCATAAAGACACCAGGAATGTTTGAAAGTCAGTGTGAGAGGAGGGAAACAGCCAGACTGTGACTCTGAGAGGGCGCTGCGAGTGGTGTTACACAAGAGTGATAACAAGACAACACTGTTGTCTTGTTATCATCTCTCACATCAAAAACAATCACACCTCTGACTATTAAAACACAAGACAGCTTTATCATGAGAAATGAGTCATTTAAAAAACATGACTAACAGAGAAAGACTCAGAGAAAAGGGGATCTGAAACTCAAGTGTGACAATCTCTTAGACTAATAATCTATGACATTTTCAGATGAATAAATGTTTTTATGCTTCACAGACTGTGCAGCACAATATGCTGTGATTTGGTGTTATATAAATACAATTGAATTGAATAGTGCATCATATTGTAGCCATTTTGTGAAGCTTTTATATTTGTTGTTGTGAACACCCAGTGTCAGGCAGGTCTATTACAGGAAAATTCCTCCACTGCACAGCAAGTGATGTGTTTCACGTTCCCAGCAGCAGCAACAGCACTTTGTTTGGAAATAAATAGAGAACGAACATGGTGCTTAGAACAGGTAGCAGTTGCCAACATCGCTGCTCATGCAAAGAAACTCAAATTTCAGAATGAGAGTGAGGGACATGTGGTTTGAATGACACGAGATATCTGGGAGGTACAGTGGAAAAAACGCCACAGCGTGAGCGATTAGTAGCAAAGATGTCAGCAAAAGACGAAAGAAAAACAAGATTCTTGGGGATTGCCACATGAAAGCACTCTCCAGCATGACTGAACAGAATGTGAGAGTTCCAGTCTTCATGTGAGAATCAGGTCAGGCATTAGAGAGGCAGCAGAAAAGAGAAACAGAAAGAGAAAGAGACGTGAGTGTACTGCTGTAGGACGTTTGGAGAAACCCAGCCTGTCATGACTTGGACTTTTAAGAAACAGCACGAACACCTCTTAGTGGGGTATTAGTCTGAGGCCAAGGCTAGAGGGAATCTTTCCCAGGCACCCTTACCATATCGGGAAGAGAGGAAGAGTGCATTAATGCCTCAGGCTCAGTAAAAAAAACCCAGACTGGCTGACTACCAATGGGCCCCATGAACGTCAACAGTAATCACTAATGGTCCTCAGACAAGTTATCACCAAGCCACATTGACATTTTGACTACTTAACAGCTTGAATTGCTTTAAAAGCCAATTAAGTCACAGATCCATGCAGTTCTGAAACAGACTACACCATTTATCACTATGTGGCTGCTCACTCGTGTAACATAAATACATACACACACACACACACAGATACAGTCGTTATTCTCATTTGAATTCCATTCAATCACTTTCTAATTGATTTCATTCTCCAGATGGTCCGGAGCTGAATGCATAGCAGAATACAAAGCACAGCTGAAAGTTGTCCTCTGGTTCCCAGAAGCCATAAGACCTCCCTGTTTTCGTTTAATGCTTCTTAAAATACCCATTCATTCAGAGCTGCAGCACAAACACACACACACATGCACAGACATGCAAATTTATACTCAGTAATGACCTCAATTAGATAAACACCTCACCCCTGTTCTCACCCATGCTGCAAGGACTAGACCTTGTGGAAGAACCGGAATTAATGAGACCAAACTAATCAATAGTCGACTTTCATGCTGCAACAACAAATGCTGGGAACATTTTTAATGGCAACGAACATCTAACCATGCCGGAGAAATGTGAACCAGGCGAGACGCAAGCTGTTTAAATAGCCTCGCCTCAGATAGCGATCAATAATGCTTTGTGAACTGAGCCAGACCACAGCAGGCAGCTTTCACCAGCAATTAAAAGGGAAACAATACTTTATGTGTATGAGGCTGAAAGCAAAAAAATAAAAAAACAGCTGTATATCTGGTGCAGAATGGGTTGTGTCTTCGGGAGAGCAAGTGGAGGATTGACTGATGCAAATGTCAGCTCAAAATAAAACTGTCCAGTGTACTGTAGACTGTAGCCACCAGGAAGTGGCACTGCAGAATTCAATTGTTTTCCCAAAATAGCAGGTATTGGAAGCTCGGTAATGTACTTATGGCTGTGCCTAGTTTTGTTAAAGACAAAATAGGTACGGGGAAGAAATCTCTCTTGGCATTCCTCATTTGGCACACAACTACGCTGATAGATTTCTCCATTTTGGACTCCGCTTCTCGGTTCCCTCAAAGGTCAGCACTGTCAAGACAGTTTGCAAGTGGCCCACTTGGTGAATTCACAGGTGAAAGTTTACCAAAGTTTAACTCGAATGCGCGTCATACATTTACTTTACCTCCAGGTGTACATCCACTGTTTGCAGCTATTCCACTGACAGAAATTAAATTTGTCTGTTATGAATGATGTTGTGACCATGCCTAAGAGCCTGGGCATTGAAGTGGTGCGACTACTGCTGCTAGTGTACATTAGAGAATTTCACAAAAAATGAAATAAAATAAAAGCTCTGGAAAGGGTGAGTTGAAGGAAGAGAGGGGGTAAGGCAATAAAAAAAAAATCTGTTTCTTAAAGAAGAATGATAGGAGACATGTTATTTTCTTCAGATGAAAGCCTTTTTCCTCTAAGTGTGAGCCAATTATTTTACTTGAGAGAAAATATGAACATCTGTGTTTGCAGTGAATTGGTGAATAATGCCACACCTCTAAATGCACATACACACTCATAGAAGCACACAGGCACACATGCAATAGCGAACACACACAGACATTTGCCCTGTGGGCTGGGTGACGTCATGTTTGTTGTGGGGTGGGCGGCTTCTGGATGAAGATTAAAGACTAACTCTGCCAATGGTCTTTTAGGGTTTTGAAGATGGACAGAAGCACAACATTCCCACTAAATCATTAGGCTCTTCCAGTCTAGAGATAAAGGAGTCTTCTAGGTTGTGGCCCCAGGCCCCAGAGGCCCCCCAACCCCCATACTGAAAGGCTCAAGCAGATTTACTCTCCGGGTCGACATCAAGTCCAGGGAAAAACAATATTCTTTCTTTGACTGAGCATGTAACATCTCTCCCAGACGATTCTTTTAATTTTGGGAATGTTTATGGAAAAAGATGGAATTCCCCCCTGGGAGGATCCTAAATTCAGCCCTCTGACTGCTCAGCCCGTCATGAGCTACTCTGAGAGCACAACCATCTTAGGGTATCTCAGACTAGTTAATCCATGCATACTGACAAAACTGGGATGAAAGTAGATCGTGGTTGCCTGGTGGTCAAAACTACTTCCCCAGCAAGAAGCATATTCATACACTGAATCACATATTAAGTCATTGACTAGACAAAGAAAGGATGATTTGTTTTCAGATAAAGTCCCCTTCCGATGACACAACACTGTTGACATGGATTCCTTTCAGTGGAACAACAATGTTTTATACTGACATCACCTGTAGTTGTTATTCTGAGCATACCAGCATGTTTAAATTTGACCTTTTTAATGCCTCAACAATTTTTGTCAGGGTGAAAAACTCCTGAAACAACATTTGCAAAATTGCAAGTCACTAAAACTTTCAGTTCAAACGTTGATGAATGAATTTCTTTCAAGGTTACAGAAGGAAGACGTGTTGGCCAGCTGTGTAAACTCTTTATATTATTTATTCTTTAACAAAAGTCAAACAAATTAGATTTGCAAAGGAAATAAAACATCAGAGTTGATTTTCTGTACGTCTAACAATATGGCATAAGAGGAAACTCAATCAAACCAGCAGACATGTCAGATATCTGGCACTATATTAGCCGGTAAGTCAACAAACCACATCGGTCAAACTCTGATGAAAACATTTAAACAGTTAGGGCAGTTACTGGTCCCTTCAGGCCCATCCTGTCTCAGTTATCTACACCCTCACCCCTTTCTCCCCCTCCAGTCGCCTGACCCCGGCCAGAGCATGAGAAGAGCCAGCCGCACACAGATGACAGCACAGGAAGGAATGCAAACACGAGGCACCAAGAGACATGGCTGGCACTGAAATTTCTAGCAAAGACAACAATCAAAAATAGCAGATGTGCCAAGCTAAAAAAAAAACTAACGACATCCATCTGAAGTTGACAAGGTCAAAGCAATTTGTCAAAGAAATGACTGCTGGAAAAGCTGGTGAGGGGAGTTGGAGGCAGTCTTCCCATGGTCGCAGCCAGGGACAGGCACCATGGCAGGGCTGGGAGTGGATTGATTTAAATTCAGTCTTTAAGAGGGTGCAGACAGAGATATGAAATTGTCTTACCTGACGTGTCCCACATATTCAGCTCAATCCGGTGCTTGTCTATCTCAAAACTGGCTGTGTAGTTTTCAAACACTGTAGGCACGTAGTTCTGAAAATAAGGAATTTATTTCAGTTAGGCCTATACAGCTAAGAGGCACAAGATAAGACTGTGTTTACACATCCACAGGCTTCAGAAGTGAAGACTAATGTATTTGAAAAGACAAATAAAATAATGATAGACACGTTTCACAGCAAAGCCCTTTGGGGATATTTTAGAAATACAGTGATATTATAGCTGATGAAGACAATGCCTTAAAGTTTTATGGGCAGTACTGCAGACACAATAAAAAGTCAGTATAGACATTACAGAACTATTACAGTGATTTTATAGGAATTCGTTACAGTTCCCTCTACGCCAGTGCTTTCTCTCTCTTTTGTTTGAACGTTTCTGTCTTTAAGCAGGTGAATGGAACCTGCGGAACAAGTGCTGAAGTTGAACTGTTCAGTTTTCATATTTTGATGTCAGTGCTCCTCACTCATACACAAACTCCTGATCTGTTTTTTCTTCAAATTAAAAAGAGTAAGGTCAGACTTTTGATAGACCTACCTCTGGATAGCAGTCCTTGGCAAAAACGTGCAGGAGTGCCGTTTTCCCACATTGCGTGTCCCCGACAACCACAATCTTACAGCGGCTGCCTAGGCTGTCCATGGTTCGTCCGTCAGAGGTGTATTCTTGACGCGGGGATGGATTGCATCCAGCATCCGACAGCCTAAGAGAAGAGGCGGAATCGAAGAAGGGAAAGAAAAATGTGCAAATACATGCGCGGAGCCGGTGCGCTTTATCCAGCTCCTCCTGTCCTACGCGCAGCTCTCAGGTCCCGCTGACAGACTGTCTGACTGGTCGGCGCGCAGCCCTCTGGAAACTGCTACTTTGATTGCTGGCCACGCCTTCCTAATATTCACGCCCGACTCACTGCTCTGAAGAAAATATAGAGTATGTGGGAACCGTTTTTAGTGACCTTATTTTGCTTTTTCCTCCGATTGTATCCTATTTAATATCTCAATGGTATTACTAAAGTAGTGACAATATCCAAGTTTATCAATGAGTTTATATACACAAGTCTGCCTCCCGTTCTGTCTATATTATATTGCCTTAGAAACGTTGTGTCTGAGAGTATCAGAATTACATCCGTGCAGAATAAAGTCGTCATGCGTGCAATTTTGCCATAAAATTATTATTGGAGCTTCGAATATGAGAACGTGACTTCTTATATCTTCTTGTCACACTTTATATTCCCCCTCCTATGTTAACAACAGGACCATAACACTATCACTATAATATAAGTTAAGTATAGGCTACTATTACCACATCAAATCATATTATTTTAGGCTGTTATGTTCCTATAAGAAGCTTGTCAGTGGTTGCACGATTATTGTATAAATGTATGTAGGGTTTTTTTTGTGTGTGTAACTTGTTGGCCAGCAGTAACTGGGTGTATCTGTATGCACATGTTATGCATGTGTCTTTTGTAATTTTTGCATGATTACAAAAACAGACAACTCGGCGATGCACTCTGGTGGGAGCAGTTCCATACTGAAACCAGTTACTGCAGCACTGCAAGTCACCTTTTTTTAGCGAGGTTGTACGGTTATAATTTATTCACTGCAGTCTGGATGCTGAGATAAATTGCTCGTCAGAAGAGCTGACATTTAAGAATATGATTGAAAGAATTCAGTTTCTCCTTAATTAGCAAAACAGAACTCTTAATATGCGAGAAATCTTTACATCCATATATGGCTTTTAGCCTCCTGATTAGAGAACAGAATAAGTGTAAGTGTGTTTTTTTTTTTCATTACTTGTTAATATCGGTGCTTATTTGTCCTCTGATGATCAGTGACTAAATATCTAGTTTTCCCTACTGTTGGAGAAGCAGCGTAAACACTGCCCATTATGCCTCTAGATTTAGTGCCAGTATGACCTCTTAATGGAGATGCAATAAATGCAGCATACATAAATAAAATAGTCTATCAAATTAAGTAGCTAGAGGTCACTGGGCTGTTTTATGGGACTCGTCAACTTATGTTTAGGCTAGTTGATATTCCTTATTATTGGTTTTGTGAATGAGATAATTAAATGACGCGGAACCACGTGCAAAGGAAAAGTTTGGGCTGTTAAAACATCTTTTTTCCCCAGAGGACCGATACTGCCACCTTCTGGACAAGGTTGGTATTACATGACTTTCAATTGGCTATAATTTCAAGAGAGTATCAAGAGACCTGCAAAACTGTTAAAGGACTTGTTCTCTTCATATTATTTTTGTGGCTATGGTTTGTTGTAGCCTATTGTGGTGGAAGAATAACCTTTACGCTACTTAAGTGAAACTTCAAATAGGCCTACAACAATGTAAAAATACTCATTTACAAGTAAAAAACACAAAGTATTATTATCAGATAGTGCAAACGTATATTGTCAGAAAAATGTAAAATACGTATCAATAATTAAAGTACTGATTCTGTAGTAAAGTGGCCCCTGTAACTGATACATTATTACGTAGGCTATGATATTATTAGATTGTTAATACTGTTGCATAAATTAGCAGCATTTTACTGTTGTAGCTGGTTGTGGTGGTGAAAATTTTCCCTACTTTATATACACTGAACAAAAATATATAATGCAACGCTTTTGTTTTTGCCCCCATTCATCATGAGCTGAACTCAAAGATCTAAGACTTTCTCTGTGAACACAAAAGGCCTATTTCTCCTTTGCCGAGATTATCCATTCACCTCACAGGTGTGGCATATCAAGAGGCTGATCAGACGGCATGGGTGTTGCACAGGTGTGCCTTAGGTTGGCCACAATAAAAGGCCACTTGAAAATGTGCAGTTCCATTACACAGCACAATGCCACACATGTCGCAAGTTTTGAGGGAGCGTGCAATTGGCATGCTGACTGCAGGAATGTCCACCAGAGCTGTTGGTCGTGAACTGAAGGTCCATTTCTCTACCATAAGCCGTCTCCAGAGAAGAATTTGGCTGTACATCCAACCGGCCTCACCACATCAGCCCAGGCCCTCCATCAAGGTCGTCTGAGACCAGCCACCCAGACAGCTGCTGCAACAATCGGTTTGCATAACCAAAGAATTTCTGCACAAACTGTCAGGAAACGTCTCAGGGAAACTTAATGCTCGTCGTCCTCATCAGGGTCTCGACCTGACTGCAACTTCGCACAGCCACTGAAGAGGAGTGGACCAACATTCCACAGGCCACAATCAACAACCAGATCAACTCTATGCGAAGGAGATGTGTTGCATTGCATGAGGCAAATGGTGGTCAAACCAGATACTGACTGGTTTCCAGACCCCCCCGGACTCCAAAATACAGTGAAACTGCACATTTTCGAGTGGCTTTTTATTGTGGCCAGACTAAGGCACACCTTTGAGATGGATGGATTATCTCGGCAAAGGAGAAGTGCTCACTAATACAGATTTTGACACAACAATATTTGAGAGAAACAGGCCTTTGTGTACACAGAGAAAGTCTTAGATCTTTGAGTTCAGCTCATGATGAATGGGGGCAAAAACAAAAGCGTTGCGACCATAATTTTGGTCAGTGTAGGTCACATTGTGGTCCAGTGTAGTCCCAACCCCTCCGAAGGGTCACAAGAAAAATCTGAGGGATTGTGGGATCATTATAAGCTTATTACATATATTTAATTTCCACCATTGAGATTGAAAAGCATGTTTCTAATTCCTATTCCTTGTCAATAGGAGCAGCAGGTCTTTCAAACTTAAAAATGGTTTAAAATTGGTTGACAGCATGTTCTGGGGATTATCCTTGTTTCTGGACAAGTTGTTGCTGAAGAGTTTTCCAAATTAAATTGTTCAATGCTTTCAACAACAGAAGCAAAAGTCCATACAGCTTCATCATATTAGAAGGGTGGTACAAGTTTCAGAGGTGATTTTTTTGGTGTGATTTGGAGAAGAACTGGCCCTTTAGAGTTAGTCACTGTTTGTGTCAATAGAACAGCAGGTGGCAGTATGTATTCATTAGAGCCATAGACTGTATATAAAAAGATTAGAGCAGGCTTTTGTATAGCTCAGGACCCCCCAGACTGTGTGGGACAAAGACAAAAATATTTGACCATCTTTACATGAGTAGCAGAAATCTCTAGGTCTCTATAGAAAACTACTCAAGCTCATCATATTGTTCTTAAATACATTTCCCACTTCACTTTAAATTAATTTCACTTAATGCCCACAAGAATCTGCTTGTATCTCATTCCCTGGGTCAGCTGGTTTTCTTGTGAAGGACTTTAGACTATTTCAGTAGCTGAATATGATGCCACGTATACAAGGAGAAAGTGTTGGACAGACAGTGTACTGCATAGGCCAATCACACTCCAGATATTTACAAAAGCATTTATGTAATAAATAAATGTGTTAATACTTACAGTAATGGTGGGTGGATTACAATCATTCTCATGCTGACTATTCGACACAGTACGCTGCATCGGCCAGCAGGTGGGTGTAGAGATCTGCATTCCCATTGCTGGTGCTGAATGGTTGTGTCTGAGATGATTTGTTGATATGCTACTCAACCATGATTACACCCATGCATGAATAGAGAAGACATGCCAGATCACTCAAAAGTAGGGAAAATGAAAAAAAAGCATATAAGTGAACAGAGGTTGAATTGGTAAGGAGCAAATATGCGATGACTTCTGAGATTTCTGTTTCTGTAAACTTGCCAGGAAGAATTGATTGAGCTTATACACTGTACAGTGAAATGAACAGAAGTTCTTCCAAACTCAGCATTTTAATTTAAGGTCTGCAAATAACTGTATACTTAATGTATATGTAATGCATATTTGGCACCTTCTGTACACTGCAGCCCTGAGACCAGGCTAATTACAACTGTATGTTTGGAGGAGCTATGCTGGGAATAATTTGAAATCACTAAACTCTGTCCTAATAAGAATGATAACAGGGTGAGATAGATGTCAGTCAAGAAAAGTATGTACACACCCACACTGTCATGGGCAGATGTATAATTAGGTGAAAACACTTGTGGACTTGAGGATTGTGTGTGCAGGGCTTTAAGATTTTCCATACTAAATAAACAATCGCATTATGATATATGATGCATTACTACTGCTTATATAGTATAACTGATATAATTACTAGTTACAATTTGCTCTCTCCCTTGACCAGACACAACATTATAATGTTGCTTACACTTTGGTCAGTATCTTCAAATCAATGTGTATAAAAACATTAAACTGACACCCGCGACCTGACCCCAGATAAGAGGTTGAAGATGGGTGGATGAATGTATGGATGGATGGATGGAGGGATGGCTCTTCATAATTATTACTTTGACTTTTAAAAGATTTAAAATACATTTTCTTTACTTGTGTAATTTTTGAATATTATAGTGCTTTTCCATGTAAGAGCGTTTTTACACTTTGGTATTGTTCATTTTATATAAAGCATCTGAATAATTCTGAATACTTCTTCCACAACTTTAAGACACATACAGACATGTGTCCGTAATTACCCAACTTTTCTATTTTCCTGCCTCTTGATAATACATTCAGGCATCATAATACTTTCAGTAATAAGGAGGTAGGTCATCGTAGCCACTGAACATGAAGGTATTTCTTAAATCTGCAGTAATAATTCATACATTCATACAGATGTGTGGGATTTGCATGATTTGTCATAACACCATTTTCTAGATTTGTTATGAATCCCAGTATTTTCCCATTTTCAATGAAAGTGAAAATATCTGTATGTTTGTAGTCGAGACACACACATCCTCAGAGACCGTCCAGACTCTCTGAAGACTTAGTCTATTTGCCTGGTAGAATGGTGACACAGTACTTTATCCAGGCCAAATTAAACCACTGAGCAACATTATGCATTCAGTAACCTACTTAGACAATAGATGAGGTCTCCAAACTACACCAGGTGTCCAAGGTAGTACATCTCTGTTCCTGTGTCCTGTGTTCTTTTAACCTCAACCATTTCCTGTGATGGATACATTTTCAAACCTTTCTTAGCTGTTGGAACATGTTCTGAAATGTTCTTCTTGGCCTCATGGTGAAATAAATAAATAAAGTTTTAGCATTCTGCTTCTCTTCTAATCCTTTTGTCAGACTCTAACCTGCAGTACAAGTTATTTTCCTGACTGTGCCTTGCTGATATATTACCATACCAGCCCTGCCAGAGCTAATGAGGAGAAGAGCCACTCTGCAAGCACCCACAGCATACTGATGTATATTCAGAGTGGCTCAGTGCGGTTGGTGAGGAAGAGCAGACATTCTGCCTTGTAACATTTTGCCTGTGTCAAAGTGGCAGATCAATGATGGCTGCATACTACATCATTAAGCCCCTGTGGGATATTGACAGGGACATTGCTGACTTCGGCCTTAGGGGTGCTGAGTGGCACTTTATGACCACAAGGTGTCTCACCGCTTCTCTCGTGGTCACTTCTCTGTGAATGGACACTGAGCTGATCTCTCAGCTCCAAAGGCACAGACAGAAATGGAAAATGTGAATAGACTTTCTTTTTGTGACAAATATAAGAAACACTGGCAGTTAAATCTATCATCACAAAAGTTTAACTATTGTTTCTATCACATGAGCCTACTAGATTTTGATGGGTAAGGTCATCCTTCCCTATGGCCCTGGCTCCTTGTTCTGAAGTTGAATAATACAAAGCAGGTTATATCGTTTAATCAAAAACTGGCGTGACCTCAATACAAACTCATATTTTTCTGAGCTGCCTGTGCAGGGAAGTTATAACAATGAGCCACACGCAAGCCCAAAGTTCCTGCAAATCCTACTGTAGAATAGGCAGCATAAACAGACGTTTCCTCTGGCTGCTGCTGTTCCACCACCACAAATCTCACTGTTCAACAAGCAGCAGTAAACAGACAGAAATAAGCAAATACTTGCTGAAATAAATATTAATTCAATAATTGCATCCTTTGTTTCATCTTATCTGAGGGGCAGAAGTGCATTGGATTCTAAAGATATGTCACAGACATCGTAAAAATGAAAAATCAATGTAGGCTACAGTGTCAATTTTTCTTCTTCAGATTAAACCTATATTTACCTGTAACGTCCTGTGTATAATATATGTGTTTCCTTATTTGGAGTACCACTATTTGCTCTTATGATATTACAACTTTAGGCTAATAAGTTTGTGGAGATTTGCAGTAATCAACAGATTTGGAAGAAGGTTTTGCTAGGGTTGGCTTCAACTTCACTTGCCAGTAATGGACATTTTTGCAAATCACACCACTCTGCTTGATGCAATATAGGCTTCTTTTATAGCCCTACCCCAAAAGCCAAACGCATCCAATCACACAAGCCAATCCACGGGTTTCTTCAGCTCTCCGGGTTTTCCAGCCTGCCTCTCTCTCGTCCCACTCACACTCTCTGTCAGAGCGCGGCGTTGACAGCCACTAGCCACTGAGCAACCCACTCTGTCGGGGTTTGTGTCTCCATGCAAGACTGTTGAAAAAAGAAGCTCTGACTCTCTCATTTTGTTTTATTTGCAAGGCAGGCAAAACAGCAAGCCCGTCCACGGCAAGAAAAGGCACAGAAGTGAAAAAAGCCTCTAAGTAATTTTCTAGACTCCTCACTGTCTCACAGCTCCCTGCACAATGTCTGGAGAGGACGCACCTGCCCAGCAGCAAAACGACGTGGACCAGAAGCAGGAGACCAAACCCGCCGAGGAGCCCAAAACCGAGCCGCCCAAGACGGAGTCTCCACCCGCCGGCGCCGCCGAGGCCGCGGCGACCCCCGAGAAGGTCCCCGAAGAGGAGACGTTCACCTACCGCGCCCTGGTGCTCACCGGCTACGGGGGCTATGATAAAGTCAAGCTGCAGGTGAAGAAGGGCAAGCCTGCGCTCAAGGCTGGCGAGGTCCTGGTCCGGGTAAAGGCTTGCGGGCTCAACTTCGCAGACTTGATGGCTCGACAGGGGCTGTACGACCGGCTGCCGTCCCCGCCGGTAACCCCAGGAATGGAGTGCTCCGGGGTGGTGGAGGCTGTAGGGGAAGAAGTGACGGACAGAAAAGTAAGCACATGCCACTGATAATTTTTCTTGAAGTCTAATTTTAGTGTTTTACTGTGTGTGTGTGTGTGTGTGTGTGTTTTATTGATTCGTTTTTGGTTTTGCTGAACAGTCTACATCTGGATATGGGCGTGTCAGGCTTCGTTCGCTGCTCAGGGAGTGGTGGTATAGTGCTGCTACACTGTAGGCCTATTAAACAGTTTTATGACTTAATTAATTGAATGATATTTGGTCAGGTGATTATAATACGTTTATAATAAATATTGGCCTTTAGTTTATGTGAGCTGCCATGGGTGTTCATCCATCCATTCATTCACTTGTGCGTAGTAGCCTAAAGAGAAAGCACTAGTCTCAAAGTAGAAAGCAATAGCCCACAGTCTGTTAGTGTGTCCATGTTGTATTTCATCTCTGTGGAAGAAGCCCGAAGTGTGTAAATTACACGAGCTGAGCACAATGAAGCCAACAGCAGGCGTCGACCCTCTTGTCTCCCCGGTTTTCAAATTGCGCTGTCTCTGCGCACTTGAGCAACTTTAAGTAGCCTACAAAACAGCCGCTGCGAGATGGATTCGCTGTCCATTCGCAACACGTGTGTGTCCAAAGTCTAAATAAACACATGCTAAATCGTGGGATGCTTTCTACCCTTGCAGCACCTACGCTGTAGCCTACTGCGTTTTGGTGTGTGCCAAGGCGCGGAGAGCTGCGTCAAGTAAATCAGAATGAGACCGGAAATTAGATTGCTCTGCCTTCAAAATTAAAGCTTTGAACAGTCACCCGAGAGTTTTCTTTTCCTTTTTATGGAGGCAAAAGACAATGAAAAAAATACTATGCAAGATATGAAAACCAGCGATCAATATGCTACGATTAGTAGGCTATGTAAAACATGTTGAATTATAATAGGCTGCCGCATATTGGATTTGTAGGTAACATTTGGTCATGCAGCACACATGTAGGTCTGCACTCGTCCTACTTAGGTCTTTATACAGTAAAAAAATAACATTTTGGATGAAAAACCGAGCTACCTTAGTTCAATTTTGTCCATCAGTTCCTCCGCAACTTGCAAAACGTTAATTAATAAGGAACTTTATTGTGGAGACGTTGTCCATATGCAGTCCACAGTTATTAATATGGCTGACTTGACACCGGCGGCGGAGACCAGAGTCACCGACGCCTTTTGTTACCGGGAGCGACGGTGGCGCACAGACTCAACGTACGGAAAGGGCGAGGCGCGACGCATCAGACAGCGTGATGTGAGAAATATGACCACTCGCCTTCTTCGTCAACAGAGGACCTATCGCCTCTGTTGTGTTCAGAAGTGATTTACAGTCATCAATATATCAGGATTAAAGTTCAGACCCGCGCGCTCTCAGACAATGAAGCCAAGCCAATGAAACAATCATAGGCTAATTAATTCAGCATTGACTTTTCTTTAATGTTCAACCACAAGGCATGAAGTTGTGATTGATAGAGAATCATTTGTCGCTGTCTTACATTGCATGATGAGTCACAGGCCTATTTATCTGTCTCCTAGCTGCATGGCATCACCACTTTAACGCCTTTGTAGGCAATTAAAGCACAACGTCAAAATGTTACACATCAGCTGGCGATCAGGCCCACGTTGTTTGTTGTAAGAGCACCACATGTTCTCACGTCAGCCAGTAAATAACTGTGGATAAACTAACGCTGATCACATGTGTGATGCCAGTACAGATTCAGTGCATCTGGCTGGGAGTGGCACATATGTCTTTCAAATGCAAGTCCATATGGATGGTGAGCAATAGGAATATAATCGGTGATCGGTCAGCAGGTAGCTGCCAGACATCATAGAAGGTTAAGACACTTGTGTTTCTTGCGTTTCTTATATACTTTATAGCTTATTTCCACACTGTCAGTAATGTAGATTGGATTTAAAGGTCACGTTCTTCACACAACATGCACAAACACACCGCTTGTCATCAAGGCCTCACACTAACTAACCCCACATCCCAGTGCAGCCCTTAGGTTATAGAATTAAGAGCCAATCTTCCTAATGGATGGAGATCTCTGAGATCTTTTGGCAGCTAACTCAGAGGGAATGCGCTGACCCTGATGGCACAGATTTTTTTGGGAGGCTCATCACTCACTGCAGCTCCATCTATCCTTCTGCCTTTCTATCTCTGTTCCCCCCTCTCTCTCTCTCTCACACACACACACACACACACACACACACACAAAGACATGCAATAATGGGTGTGTCTGATAGTCTGCTCCCCATACACAAAGCTACAAACCCATTCATGCCATTTAATTAGATAATGCAACATAAACATCAGTGGCTAAGTAAAGTGTGATTGATTTTTGTTTAATCTTTCCGACATTTCAGTATAGTGCTTTACATTATGTTCTCTAATGTAAGCTTTCACACACAAATATATGAGGCATTTGAGAACTTTGGCTTTTTTTGTTAGATGAGAAATAACATGCTTATAGTTGTTAAAGGTGTTGAAAAAAATATTGTTCTGGTACCGGCACCAGTATAGAAACATTTCAACAACCATCCCTGGGTATGATGTTATTAAAATCCTTGTCTACCTCATGATGAGTTTAAAAATTTGCAAAGATGACAAAGGCAGCACTTGCACCATTGTTGCCCTCCAGCCTTCCTGTGTTTGGCTTGTTTAATGTTTTGCTGCTTGCTGGATCATGTGTTTTTCTATGTATGTATTATCCACTGCATGCCTCATATTGTATTTCAATAACTGCCACAAAACAAGCATCCCCTGAGGGGACAGTAGAGTCGAACGAAGCAATACTACAGTGCCCTCACCCGAAATGACCTAAGAGGGAGTGTGGAGAAAAGTGTAACAGTGAGTAAGAGAGGGAAGAGGGGAAATATCACAAATCACAAGCTCCCCTGACACCAAACATCAGCACTTTTTTTCTCCTGGCCTGCTTTTTTTCTTCATTTTTCATGCTCTCCTCAGTGAGTTTTGGTAGGATCTGACATATGTTCTCAATTACCTCCTTCTGGCCCACATTGTCATTCTGGTATTTCCTCCATCCCTCCTTCCCTGCCTCTATCGATCCCTCTTTCTTTTGTATAAGACGATACTGTCAGTGAATCCCTATCATGCTGCCTTCCCTTTATGTTACCATCCTCTTTACTTTCTGGGCATCTATACCTTCCTACCCATCCTGCTCTACATGTCCTTTTCACCATGATCACAACAGTGGGAACTTTCCCTCATACTGCTCGTGGCCAGTTGACAGTTTGCTATAAACTGCTGGCTTAAAAAAGAAAATCTGACGTTTTTGTTTTGTATTTTTTTTTCTCTTCAAGCTTGTCCAGTGTAAATTGTGTGAGGAATAGTGATGTTTTGTTAGCATTATATGCTGCTTTGCATAATCAGAGGTGCAGTCAAGTGCAAAAATCAGCATGCAGGCCCTCCTGTCACAGATATTGCTGAATGTGAGCAGGGCGTGGTCTTTATCGTAACATCATACAAACCGTGTTAAAGCACAATGAAACCTACACTGACACCAGGGAGATATTATGTTTCCTTTTCATTACATTTACAGGAGCAACGCAGGCCGTGTGGGTCTTAAGACTTCATCTTTTGCCTGAACCTGACTCAGGAACAACGTATCAAAAATTTTGTTAATTCTTTTTTTTTTCTCTGATAATTTTTTGCTGAGATCAACAAAGCTCAAAGCCACCAAGCAGCTGACTTAGAGGCCTGCATACCCCAAAATTGAATCACCATCTGATTAAGTCCATTCATATACAGTTAACTGGAAGTGTCTTTGTTCAGCGCCCCCGCACTCCTGACCCCAGCTGTGAGTACATTTGATGCAGTGGCATGAAGGCTGAGAAAGGAAACGCAAGAAGTCTGTGTGTGTCTGTGTGTGTCACAGTGTGAAGATGTTGAAACACAACTGTCACAAGGCTCATTCTCTTGGCCTTGAATGTTCCTGCCCAGATTCTGTGACAGTAACTCACATGCTTTATGTAGGCGCAGAAGAATAGCTGCAGATGCATTTGAAGGCGATGTGTGAGTCATATTTGTGTGTGTTTCCTGTAAAAGCCTGCATTCCCCCGTCTATCGATTTGTGCCACGCTGTACCCCTAATTAAACCAGCTAGGCTGATGAGTTTGAAGACTCAAAAAGGCAAATAAAATAACTGAGAGGTGGTGATGGGAGAGAACAAGTCAGCATGAATAACAAAGGGAAGGAAAGAGATGTAGCCCATGGCGAAAGTATAGTTTGAAAATAATCTAAATGACTCAAGCTCAGACAGAAAGATGCGGGTATGAAAAGAGAAAGAGAGAGGGAGATCTCTAATTGGAGTGGATAGACAGTGAGGCGCATGGCTCCCTCCAGACCATTAGAGAGGCCCGGGTGGAGAGAGTTTGTTCCCAGGAGGAGAGAGCTTGTCTTATGCTCAGCCATGGGGAAGAATCTGGCAGGGACTCTGATGAGTGGAGAGAGGCCAGGGGAGAAGATGGGCCCCATTGTCCTGTCGCGCTGATGAGGAAGGGGGGATACGGGACACTCCTCGCAAGAAAAAAGGAGGATGGTGAAGACAGAATGAGACAGTGAAGGATGCAGAAAAGGGGAGAGAAAGAGAAAGCATCAAAGAAGGCGGCAAGACCGAGACACAGACAGGATGAGACAAGGGACTGGAGAAGGGGAAGGAAGATGTTCTAAAGTTGTAAGAGGAAAAGGAGTCAGGAAGTGAAAGAGAAAGAAGGGAAGAGAAAAAGTGAGGAGAATGGAAACAGGTTGGGAGGGAGAGCTGTGTTGAGAGAGGTGGATAAGGGGGAGGAAGAAAACAGGAAGAGAGTTATAATGCTGCAGTCGTCTCTGTTTCCTGTGTCCCTTGAGTGGGCTCTCCTGATTGGTTAGCGAGGGCGCCGGGAGTAAGTTTATATCCAGGCACGTCTTTCTGGAAAGAGACTGTTGTGAATCGGAGAATCCTGCTTTGAGAAGGATAGTTTGGGAGCGTACAAAGAACTATTCTGACATTTCCAATATACTCAAACTTAATCTAAGAATCTGAATAAATATCTTACAAGATCTCTTGAAGCCACACTTTAAGCACATTAGCAGTGCTTGTTAATTCAGAGCAGAACTTCCTTTGTGTTTTTCATCAACTTCCAATACTTTTCTTCTTTTCCTCACTGACAAACAGGGCTGTCAAAAGCTTGCAAGAAAACAAACCACACTTTTACATGCCCGAATGCAAAGAGCTCACCACTGCAAGCCACTGCATTAGAAATCGGAAAACAGCTGTCATATTTTGGCACCCATCCCGAAGCATCTAACCTGTTAAACAAAAAGAAAAAAAGAACCTCATCCCTTTTTTTTAACCCACATTCCTCTACTGCTTCACTATTTTCCTCCATAAAGTCAATAGAGTTACTACACATACTGTGGTTTATCGCTTTCGTTGTTTGCTTCCACGCTTTAAGAGCAAACTCTTTGAGGTTTGGTGGACGAGGCGGCTGCATGTTTGCATGTCTGTCATTGTTGTAAGCAAAACAATAAACCACAATCATGCTATTCCTGCTGCACGGCTCGCATCATTCGTACTGCGCCAAAGAAACCGTGAGGCTGCAGATGGCAGGATGCTACAGACTCCTTCAGACTCTAGCAGGGAAACCTCCTGGAGTACTGAACTATCAGTGGAACCTATTCAAACTCAAGAACTTAATTAATCAATTAAAATATTCCAGAACTTAGCTTCAATTTAATAAAAGTTATACTCCAATTTTGCCCAAATTGCTGTAATGCCTTGGAGATAATAGTATTGACGCCAAGATATGATTCCTTCTTCCTTAAACAAATAATTGTAGAAAGCAAAGATTTAGCTTTATATGGCTTAGTAAGCTTCTTTGTTTTAAATGGTCCATGTAAATTTTAATAATAATTTCAAAACAGTCACAACTTTTCCGGTGCACAGTGGTTCCCAACCAGTTTTGTCAGACGTAACCCCACAGCCTTGTCAGATGAACTCAGTTACCCTTTCATTGACAACACCCATCGATGTTACAGATGTTTTCATTTAAAGTATCTATAATTGAACTATTAATGCTATAAAAGTGAATATAATTGTGGATGTTCAAGTTTGCATTTGTATTACTCCCACTTGGAGTGGCAGAATCTTAATGATTAAACTATTTATCTATTACTTAACACTATTCAAACCATTTATCGGTTGTTTTAAGCTAACAATTTTAACTATATATCTATTATTTTATGCTAAATTCTTAAACAATTTATGCATTACTTTTTACTATCTATTTATACCATTACTTTACCCTGTTTCAACCTTTTATCTATTACTTTACACTAACTTTTTAAACCAATCATGCATTACTTTTTGCTAACTAGTTAACCATTTATCTATTATTTTAAGATAACTAAAAAAAAAAAATCTAATTTCTTGACCTACTCCACTATCTTTCTGCGTTCCCACAAGCAAATGTAAAAGTTGTAAGTACTCCTGGTTGAGAATCACTGCATTAGGTTAGGTTACAGCTGTAAATAGGTACAGACAGAGAGCCCTATGTTTTACCTTCTTCTCAGCGTATGTCTTCCTGTGCCTTCTTTTCCAGGTTGGTGATAAGGTGATGGTGCTGAACCGCTTTGGGCTGTGGCAGGAGGTGGCTGTGGTGCCAGCAAGCCACACCTTCCTCATCCCAGAGGGCATGAGCTTTGAGGAGGCAGCAGCCCTCCCTGTGAATTACATCACTGCCTATATGATGCTGTTTGACTTCGGCAACCTGCGACCCAACCAGAGCGTCCTCGTTCATGCTGCTGCAGGTACTGAGACAAATACAAATAGAGAGAAGGATACACAGCATACATGCACATAAGACGCAAATGAACCCTTCTATTTTATGTCAATCTTAGGTAGGGAGTGGTTGCATCACTCTCCATGAAAGGTCGTTTGTTTCAGTAATGGTTGAATTCGTTTTAAATTGGTTAATAATTCACTCACATACAAAAACAAACATCATTTTACCCTGTTTGCTGTAGTATGTCTGAATAACTGTCAGTGACTTAAAGTTCCAATATAAATTTATGTTGTCATCCTGCAACTGAAAACCACATTTAATCAGTTTCATCTCAGTATGTATCAACCCAGTATTGCACTCTGTAGTTAGCAGCCACACGTCATGTTCATGCATTTCCTTTCTATATGAATTATGGCTGTTTATTGGTATGAGATATGGCTCAGTGTTTTGCACTCTCTACAGGACTGCACTAATACTGGAGCACCAGCCACCTGGACTGTGTGGTCAGAGTTCAGAGTGAGTGGGTGGGAGAAAGATGGGGATTGAGGGAGTAAAAGCACCTGTTTTGGGGTGTGATGCACCAAGCCTGAGAGCATTTGATTTTGCTGTGTATACACGATCCAGCCAGCTGGAGAGAATGGGAGTGCATAAGCCAAAATATATTGTCATCTCCCCGTTTCTCTCTCACTATCTGCCAGTGTACTGTGCTCTCACGTTTCCTCTTGTTCCCACTCTTTCTGTGCAGAGGGAGTCAGAAAGGCATCCCTCTGAATTCGGGACACTGTGTGGGTGTATATCACAAAGAGCAATAAGCACATAATGAATCCTGAGCCTGTTTTCTCTCTGGGAGACAAAAAAATGACATCCCAGGTGGTTGCATCCCTTGGCGTTAATACAATAAACCTAAAAATGAACGTGTCAGATTGTCATTAAACTGTATAGTTTCCCCAGAGCTGAATGACAGCTAACAGACTCATAGTTGTGGGATTGCTGGTCCACAGAGGAATCCCAAATGTTTGCATTCATCATATTATCCAGTCACTCATCCCTGTGAACACACATCTTGCCAGAGGTTTTCTGTGCAGAGTATGTTTGCTATAGGAGGAATGCTGTGGATGTGTGGTGTAAGACACTTTTCCCCACTGGTTTGGTCTAGGCGGCGTCTCTGGTTTCTCGAGGCAGGCTGCCAGTCTTGGCTCTCCAGCTGTCCGCACATCAGGATTGTAAAAGCACATTACTGAGGCTATGACAAAAACATTTGCTTAACAGTCAGCTTCACTGCACTCCGTCATTCTTTGCATGTGGAAAGCATTATTATACTGTATGATCTACAACACTGCTCTATTGAGACTTTTAAAGCTTGATTGTTTATAGCAGTGTACATGATAGTAGTACATTTTGTGAAAAGGGTGTTTTACCAATGTGAGAGATGTGCACTTCCCTCCTTTCAATGTGGGGCTGCATGGCTCACATGGTGAGTGTAGGTGGGGCGGCTCCTGAAAAAATGTTCTTGATAGATCAAAAATAAAAGTATGTGACAGGTCCAGAGCAAGAGCGAAAAAGAGGGAGAGAGAGAGAGAGAGAGAGATTAATAACATTATAATAACACACACGCGTTACTGTTTCATTTATTTATTTAATTTAAATTTTTAATATATTTTCATTTTCTAACACACATACACACTTACTGTTTTATTTACTTTTATTTTTAATATTAATTTTTATATTTTATATACTTTTTATTATTATTTTTATTAACACACACAAACACAGCTTTTACTGTTTTATTTACTTATTTAATGAAATGTATGAAATGAATTGTTCTTATGTAATCTATATGTAGCTTTGGCAATACTGTTGTTAGACATTCATGCCAATGAAGCTGATTTGAATTGAATTGAGTTGAGAGAAAGAGAGCGAGAGAGAGATTGTGTTGTCTGTGTGTCGGTCCTCAAGTCAGACAGGGTGGTATATATTCCATACTAAATGTATTCCAATAGTGGAACTAGTTATTTTATCAGTATTGTAACATGCAATGTATTGCTAAAATACAGATTAATCTATTTAATCTTTAGTCAGTCGGCAGAAATGTATACAATTACAATTGCAATTTTTAAAATCAATTAAGTCATTTATCAAGCAAAAATGCCAGACATTCACTAGTTTTAGCTTTTAAAATGTCAAGATTATCTGCTTTCTCTGTTTTATATCATTGTAATTTAAATATCTTTGGTTTTTCACTGTTGGTCAAACACAGCAAGATATCACCTTGGGCTCTTGGAAAATGTAAAGGACATTTATTTCAGTATTTTATGACATTTTACAGACCAAACAACCTGAAAAAATATTAACAAATTCATTGATAATAATGATGATGACAGTATTAGCCCTGCAGCTCTCCATTTTTTTGGCTTAATATGAGGCGATGTTTACCTGCGACCCCTCTGTCTCACAAGACTTTGCAACTAATGACTGCATATAAAGTCATATATCGAACTAAACTGGTTTTGTGTGCCAGACATGCCACCACATTATTGCTAGATCAGCTAATGGTGTGCGAAGATAATATAGTGAGCCTTTACGTGGGTTTAACTGGGCCTATTTGCATATCCGAGGAGAAGCAGTGGTACAGAAGACAGACAGTGATTTGTTTTACACGCTCAGTTACAGGGTATATGGTTTGTTAATTATGATTTAAACCAGTGTTGCTTATATTGAAGGCTCGTATTTAAACAGCAGCTTCTTATCACAGCTGCCATAGACTCTGTGTTTGAGGAGCAATTTTCTTCTTCTGCTGTCATAAATCTTTTCATCTTTCTAGTAAATGCTGGAGGGGTTCATCCTCAGTTGAACCGTCTCATGATTGACCTGTTTATTCCCATAAGGATATAATCCACTGATTTAACCACATGTGGGAAACAATTGTCCTCCTTTCAATTACTTTTTGATCATTTTGTCTCAAAACCCCCTGAAACTTGCAGTTTAACAGATCATTATTTTTCTTAATGATATATAATATATTATTCTTATTATCATCTTCAACTGGAAACAGGGTGAAACATTTAGCCTGGCTCTGTACAAAGGTAACAAAATCTGACCAGGACCAGTTGACAGGCAACCAGCAGAGAATCCAGGAAGGTACTGGTCAAGAAATAGCTTGGCACATAACCCCCGGTAAAATGATGACATGACATTGTTTTGTACAGATTAAACAAATAAAATGAAAGTGTTAAATACCGGGCTTTAGAGGTGCCTTTGAACAGTCAGGCTAGCAGTTTCCTACTGATTCCAGTCTTTAAGTTAAGCGAAATGAGTGCTATCAGTCTTCTCCTCTAAAATAGACACTAAGTGTCATAGAGTTTTGGGTTAAATGTAAAACAGTTTTCATTGTAGAAAAAAAAACAGTAACTTGCTGATGCAAAACCCGAACAATGACATCTCTATAGCAAATAACCTGTTGAACTGTGAAGTAGGCCTTTACAGAGGAATGATGGGTATCCATCCTCTTGCCTTTTGCTTCTCCATTCTTATGTGTTTGCAGGCAATGCCACGTCAACGCAAGAGCTCTCATTAAAGAGCATAATTTCCTTAAAAGTTTGGTGACCTTTACCCATCACGATCAGGTGACCTGAGCATAACGCCTGACTGGTGCTTAGACTCTATCAGTCAGTCATGTCTTTATGTGTGTGTGTGTGTGTGTGTGTTTGTGTTTGTGTGTGTGTGTGTGTCTCAGCTGCCTCTCTCGTGGGTTCTCTCCTGTCCTCTCTCGCCAAACAATAGCTTGTTGTATTTCCTCCCATCGTGCCGCCCTTCTCCACCGCACTGCACATCTGCATCCTACGTTCTCCTCCTCCCCTCCGGCCCTCCGGCCCTCCGTAACCTCCGCTCCCTCTGCGTGACCTCCCCATATCCATGCTTAACTCCTCGTCATCGGGGAACGTGTGCACGTTTCCCCTTTTGTTTCCCCCAGAGGGCTTGGGCGGGGGGAAGTTCAGCAACTTTTGGATGTATCTCGTGGGTCTTCCACTGTGCCCAGCCAACAGCCTTTCCTCTGACCTCTCCCTGAACTGGTCATAATGTTTATGAACCCTGGCCAGCCACCAGTCACCACACCCACACTACACATTCCTGCATACATATGGGGCTCCGCTGCTTCCAATGATGACGTCTACCTCTCTTTTATTTATGAGTGACTGCAGGCCAACGTCAACTGTCATGCATTGTGTTGCAGATGTGGAATGCATAATATGAATTAGGTGGTGCTGCAAGAGCCTGTGTCATCAATATATCTGATGGTTTTGCTCCATGGCCTTAGCCACTTCCCCCTGCGTGTCAAGACTTTGTAACATTTTGGCGCCAATGCTGCCAAAGTTTGTGGTTTAATTCCAACTGGAGCTTCCCAAACTGTAGAAAAACGTACTCACTAATAGCATTGTAAGGTGCTTCAGTCTACTAAATAGCATATGTTATCGATCACCTCTTCTCATAAAGTTCAACAGCCGTGTGTTTGAGGTTTGTGTGTTAGATTCCACACATCCTCTCAGCCTTGTTTAAGATGGCCGTTATTAAACTTTTTATTTTTCCAACCAGCCAATTATGGTGGCTTCCATACTTTGCAGCTGCTTCTCGCTGGAGTATCTGTGTATAGGATCGGGTTACACCAGGTTGCACTGAGGATAATATGGAAGCACTTGATATGAGAAGCTTCCAGCTGCATGCATGTGCAGTACAACCTCGAGAGGGATGGGGGACAGCAGTCACAGCTGAGTTAAATCCTTGTTAATGGTATTCTATTGCATTGAGCTGCTGGTTCTGGAAGTAATTTTTACCATTGTAAATTCCTGTTGGAACATTTTCTTTTAATGATACCCTCATTGTTCAGCGTTCAAACATCGAAACAAGGTACTCTCCTGGATAAAAACTTTTTATCGTATACATTTCTTATGCTTTCCACAAGCAGAATATCCTACATGTTTAAGCTTTGGAAGTGTTCTAGTTGTCATGTAACATTGTCTATGCAAAGCA